ACTCAGAGTCGAGTTGGGTGATGTACATCTCCTTCGCACCATCGCTGCGCCACCGCCCGAGCGCCTTGAAAAGGCGGTCGGGAACACCAGCATCGACAGTGAGGGTGGCCGCTGTCTTGCAAAAAGAGTGCGTCCCGAGGGTGGTACGATCCAAACCGACACGAGTAAAGGCCTCGCGGCACCAGTTCCGCACAGTAGTGTAAGACGGGGAGGAGTCTGACGGTGACGCGCCGGAACCGGGCCGAAAGACGCGAATGAGGGAGCCCATGGACGCGCGAGAGAATCCCGCCAAGAAAAGAAATTCCTTGACGCGAGCAACGGGACAGTGGCGAGCGTCCGACGTTGCAACGGGAACCCAAGCTCCGGCACCGCGTTGATCAGTCTTGGATCGGGGAATGAAGAGCCACATGCAGTCAGCGTCAAACTCGATGTGATGCCACTGAAGGGCGACGAGGTCGGAAAAGCGCAAGAAGGCAGAGAACATGAGGAGTGGAATGAGCCCTTTTTGAAAGGTGGCAGGGTCTCGCGAGGAGAAGTAAACATCGCACATGTCGTAGATCTTGGAGGGGGGCACAGGATCCTTTGCCCGGTGGGGGCGGGCACACGCGCGGTGGGCGTAATCCTTGACGTGTGAGGAAAGCGGTCCCTTGATAGGGGATGGCGCGCCTAAGAGCCAGAGAGCGCAGGAGATGGTGGAACAAATTGAACGAACGGCTGCTAGCGTCGCACCCAATCGGATTGATTGCAAGAGGAAGAGGGCTGTGGTGAGATCATTGGCCGGAAGCGATTGGAGTGAGTGCTTTGAGCAAAAAGCACGGTACTGCCGCCAGTATGGCTTGTACGTGCGAATGGTGGATTGGGCACGAAGATCCACCGTAAGTGTCAGCAGGTCCAGAAGAAGCTTACAAATATCCGATCCTGCCACAAAGGAGCGATTTGTTGTAGAGAAAATCCATGCGAAGAACAATGAGGGGCGAGTTAGGTAACCTGATTCCACCAAACGCACGAACATCACTACCTAGTGCGAGACAAGAAGCACCTAGGGGAAGCACCACGTGGTCTAGTATGAAGGGGGCACATGAAGTACCGTCCGGGTATATAATGGGCCACCAGAAGGCACTAGGCCAGCGAGGGACAAGGAGCGTTAGCCTAGCGAGCGAGCGTCGTGCATGTGCGATAACCGCTGGGATCAATGATGGTGGCGGGAATGCGTACGCATTCTCCGCATGCCAACTGATGGAGAAAGCATCTTGTGTCACTGCCCGGGGGTGGAAGACGAGCGTGCAAAAGCGAGGCAACTGGTGGTTGGTGGATGTCGCGAACAGGTCGATCGTGTGGGGTCCCCATCGTCGATCGACAAGGCGAAACCAAGGAGAACGAAGCGAATAGTCATCGTAGTGGATGACCTTGGACAGGTTGTCAGCCTCCGTATTGAGCTCGCGAGGAATCCATTGAACCGTCAAACGGATGCGGTAGCTGACGCAAAACTGGATGATTGCGCAACAGACAAGGGTAATCTCCAGACGTCGAGAACCCCCCTTCCGCATGATGTAGTAGGCCGCTTGGATGTCGCTGCGCAGTAGGACATGTTGGTCTCGTATGCCCGGGGCAAAGGAGGTGAGTGCCAAAGAATGACGGTGATTTCCGGGAGTGTGCTAGAGGTAGCGGACAAGGAGTGGGGCATGGGAGCAGAGAGCGGTTGTAACTCAGTTTTGAGATCAGAAAGTATTGCTCCCCAAGAAATGTCACTCGCGTCTACGTAGATGACCGCTTCGTATGTGTGTGGGTTATGAAATCGAGAGCCGTTAAACTCGTCGAAGCGCGCCATCCAAAACTGGAGCTCGTCGACTGAGCTATTGGAAAGGAGAACTCGGTGACCCCAAGACGAGCATTCTGCTATCTGTGTGAGCAGATTATGAGAGAATGCGCGGGCCACAGTGCCGAGCGCGAGCGACATGGATGCCAGCATGCCGGTGATGTGCGCGAGGCAACGAACTGGGATGAGACGTTTGTTAGTGCCCTCCAAGCAAGTGAGACGCATCTCCTCAAGAAGGCGAGTGCGTCGCTCCGGGTCGACCGAGAAAGACAGGTCCCTGGTGTCCAGGAGCAGGCCGAGAAACTTGAGGCGCTGCACTGGCTCGAGCTGTGATTTTTTCATGTTCAAAAGGAATCCAGCGGATTGAAGGTCTTCGAGAATGACGCTTTGAGAACGCAGCGCACTAGAATGGCTCGCACTAATAAAGAGGATATCGTCGACGTAAGGAACAACTCGAATGTCCTGGCTGCGCCACCGTTTGGCAAGCTGCTTGATCAGTTGAGTGAATACGAAAGGTGCTGTCGCAAGTCCAAAGGGGAGCGAGCAAAACTGATATTCCACACCGTGGAAAGAGAATCCAAGAAAATGCCAGTAGCGAGGGTGAATATCGACATGATGGTATCCGGATTTGAGGTCAATTGTGAATAACCAGTCACCCTGTTGGACGAGATCGGGAATGCGGTTCAATCCCTCGTAGCGAAATTTAGACGTGCGCAAGAAACTGTGCACGTGCCTCAAGTCAAGGATGAGCCGCTTCTTGGTCGGTTGTACAACCACGTTTAGCGGACTGGAACATATATTCTTGGCTCGGGACGGGAGGACACGAGCCGCGCCAGTGGCTACGAGCTCGGCAATTGCCTCTGTGGTGAAGTGGCTATACTGGCTCGCACCCGGGTGGTTAGGTGCACGGCGAGGTACGGGCTCGGTGCTTGCCCATGGTAACTGATAACCGCGCGAGATGACAGACAGTATGAAACTGCTGTCACACCATGTGGACCACCACGTAATGCATTCGCGTAACCGACCGCGCATGTGAGCGTGTATTGGATGTGAAAGCGCGAGGCGCATTGGAGTGCCTGGAGGGTGGGTGGTAGCAATTAAATGCAGGTGAGTTTAGGTTTAGGTTTTTTTTTTTTAATCAAAGGCTGAGCCTAGGAATGGGAGAGATGAGCCTACCAAGCTCGTGAAAGAATTGTAGATGATGTTCCAATCTTGTAGCTTATGTCATTTTAAATATTTTTCACATCCGCCATATAAGACATTTCACTTGAAGATATGCAAAACCGCCAATTAGACTATGCGTGCAAGCTGGTTCGCCCCTTGCTCGCGCTGGGGGCATTGAGCAATACCGTGGCCGGGCTCGCGGCATAAAAAGCAACGTCCATCCCCGTCGCGGCGCCACTTGTTCCAAGAACGATCACCGTTACCCCTGCCGCGGTTATTCTGGTTGAAGCGCTGGGGAAAGGAGGAGTTACGGTTGGGGCGACTCTTTTTTATTGCAGCCACGATCTGAGCCGCGGATTTCACCGTCTTATCCTCAACGACCTCCCCATATTTAATCTTTAAAGCGACATTTGCCACATCAAACCCGCGTTGGTCGGCGGTGAATAAAAACATAATCTTTTCCTCGGCCTCTTGCTCAATCTCTTTTATATAGAGAGCCGCTTGCTCGCTTCCTTCGGAGGGCAAAGCACTCAACGCGTGACGAGCAATAATTTGAATCCTTTCAAAACCAAACATTTGAGTGCGAACTCCTTCGCTCTTAACGAGCGCCGATCGCAGTTGGGGACGTGATGGGGGGATGGGGATGAGAGCCGATGCGGAGTGTGGAGGATGAGCGTGCGGGAGGGAGCGAGGGCCATTACCTTCGTTCATCTCCTCGAAAATGCCGTGTTCGCCGTCCTTCTCTTCCTCGGCCGCTTCGGGGGCTTCGACCTGGCGAGTTGCTGGGCGATGGTTCTCCGCAGGGGCAGGCCGGCCGTTGGCGTGATTGCGCTGGAGCATCGCAAGAAGCTCCGACATTTGGTGAAGCGCGTTGACGTTGTGCGGCGGGTTGACGTTATTCCGATACTCCATATGGTCGCTCCGCGAAGGTGTGGCCCGAATGTTCACCGGCGCTGGCGAAACGGGGCGCTCCATAACGCGTCTTGTAGGCTCTCCTGAAAGTTGCGCCAGAATCTGGAGAAGATTCGCTTGGGTGGTGTGGTCAAGATTTCCCAGCATCGCCGCGAAATCCGGACGAGCAGCAGCACGCGCCGTCTCGATTTCGTCGAGATTCTGCTGCGCCGGACGCCGTGAATTTTCGCCAGGCGAAAGATTCGCCACGCGTGCTGGTGCAGCAGGCGCGCGAGGCGTATGCTCCTCAGGCGCGTGCCTGTCTCGGACTGACGCGCGCCCCTGAGGGGCCTGAGGGGCCTGAGGCGCGGGTCCCTGCTCCACTTGCGCGTGCCTCTCCTGCTGGCCTGGCACGCGCCCCTGGGCTTGTACAGTGGCGAGAGGGGGGTTGACCCGGTTGAAAAATCCAGGCGGTCCCTCCTGATTGGCGCGAGGTGCAGGGGTGCCGTCATTGCGCGTCCCTGCTCCTGCGTTGGTGGTGCTTGCAGGTTCGCGCGGGAGATTGTTACGGGCTCCCGTCGGAGAGGTTGGCGCGCGATCTTCGTTCCGACGATTGGTCCTGCGATTCGCTGCACCAATTAAATCGAGAGCCGTGACTCAGGCAACTGCTCAATAGCGAGTCAGTTGTTTGTCCTTGCTGTCGCGCTGTACTTGTCAGGTCAAAGGTCGCTGACCTTTGGCTTTCGCGTAACCTCCAGCAGTTGCTCAACCTCCGAGGGTTGACTCGCTGATGCTTCGATATGTTGTGCTTCGCTTCTGACTTGGTGTTTCGACACGATAGGGGCGCTTAAATCAATTGTTTCCAACAATGGCATCTCCAAGATGAGCCAAACTTCACACCCCTCTGATCCATTATTGATGCAGCTGTCCACCAATAGCAGGGGGGGGGGGGTTAGGGAAGGACACCAGCCGAAGAAGTGAAAAATGTTCGATGGGGAAATTGAATGGAGGGTTGGCAGAAACTGTGGGGTGCGCGAAGCTTCAAAGTGGTGGGGTGGGTGAAGGGAAGCAACGGAGTTGGGAGCGGTGGAGCAGAGGGTTGGATGTCGTCACGCCTGCCACCGTGGGGTCATAGTGGAAAGGGAAGGGTCGGATGAGGGGAATGGGGAGGGACAGGAGAGGGGGGAAAGGGATGGCCGGGAGAGGGGTGAATGGTGGGACTGAATAGGGGGAAAGGGAAGGGATGGGAGAAAGGGAAAGGAAGGGTTTAGGAATCGGGGGATGCCTTGAAAGGACAAGGGTAGGGTAAAGGGTGGATGGTGGGGGAAGGAGGGACGGACACCGATGGAAGGAGGGACAGGGACGGGGGGAAGGTTTGAATGGTAATGGGGGAAAGGAGGGACGGCGGGAGTGGGGGAGAGGAGGATTGGTGGTGGAGAGACAGTGAGAGCGAGTTGCTTGCTACCGTCGCGCCTTTGCTGCCTGCAGGGAAGGGCAAGAAGCCAAGGTATCGACGGACAAGGGGAGTTCGGAAATGGGGAGGCGTGAAACTGAAGGTGTGGCATAGGAGGATGTGCCATGGGGGATGGTGGCAAGGGGGAATGCCCTGGAACAAACAAGGGGGAAAGCGACGGATGGGAGTGCGAAAAAGAGAGGGTTGGTGAGGGGACAAGGGGACGAATGGGTGCAGGGGGGAGCAGCGGGGGGGGGGCTGAATAGTGAATAGTGCTTTGGCTCAAACTTGAAAATACAAACTTGAACTCAAAACAATCTCTTACGCTTGAACTAGGAAAGGAATGGGATAGGACAGGGGGAAGGAGAAAGCCTGGGGGAATAGGATAGGACAGGGGAGGGACAGGAGAGGAGGGAAAGGGATGGCCATCAGACGGGTGAATGGTGGGATGGGATAGTGGGAACGGGAAGGGATGTGAGAGAGGAAAAGGAAGGGTTCAGGGAAGGGGGAAATGAGCAGGAAAAGCAGCGACGGTAGTGGGGGAAAAGGGACGAATGTGGGCAAGGGGACAGATGAGAGCAGGGGGGAGCTGTGGGTTGGGATAGGGGAAAGGAGGGAAGGACAGGGGGGAAGGGATAGAAGGAGTGGGGGAAAGGGAAAGAAGGACAGGGGCCTATAGCATGACGCTGCACGCTCCCGCCTCGCCCGCCACTCTCTACCGCTCGCCACCGCTCGCCACTGTCGCGCCGCTGCTCGCCACCGTCACGCGCGCAACTAGCCGTCGCATCTACGACCATTGCATCTCGTGACCGATCTTTGCATCGACCCCAGGCGATGCTCGCCACAGTCGCACCCATTCCGACCATCGATCGCTGCTCTTCCCACCCTTTCCCCCTGTCCTTCTCTCCCATTCCGGCCCTGTCGCCATCGCTACCCTTGCCTTCGCCGCATCGCTACCAATATCGCTCGCTAAAGCCGCTTGCGAGGTTTGGACGCGAGATGCTATGCCACCGTCGGAACAGATGCTTCGCCCCACTGCTCGCTTACGACACCCTACTGCACGCTAACGTCGCCCCGCTGCTCGCTACTGTCGTTATCGCTGCTCACTATCGTCATTGCGCTGCTGCCGCCATGCTGTTCGCTACCATCGCAACCCTACTCGCTGCCATCGCAACCCTGCTCGCTGCCATCGCAACCCTGCTCGCTGCCATCGCAACCCTGCTCGCTGCCGTCGCCGCTCTGCTCGCTATTCGCCCCGCTGCTGGCTACCGTCGCAACCAATCCTGCCTGTCGCCATCGTCGCTGCTTACCACCGCCGATTCGTGAGAAATAGAGGGACGAGAGAGGGAAAACTGAACGACGACAGCGGAGGAAATCTAGCGCAATGCGCTACGGGTACGACTGCCGTGGTGTTTTTTGGGTTGCGTAGCAACCCTTTATATTTGGTTTCACATTTTGGGGATATCATTTGAAGAGTGTATTTACGCACTTTTTGGAGCACCCGTTTTGAATGTTTCGAAACTGTGTTCAAACGGATGCCTCAAATAATGGATAAAAAACATCCTTGAATGACATCCCCATATGTAAAACCAAATACCGGAATGTACGTACGTATCATGTTGAAACCATGAACTTGCTCGACCATCCCGCATACATAACACACAATAACACCACACTTTGAAACACACATCCCACAAACACGAATGCAAACGCACGTAAAAAATGTACAACACCACGTAACGGTTATGAACGGATCGAAGAGCAACCCCACAGTGAAACAAACACAACGAACAGACATGCACACACACTCAAACAAGCACAGAGAGATACGGATACCGTAATATACACACAACCGTCATAAATAAAATTCAAAATAAATAATTCCTAACCTATCCCACCTTACCCTCCCTACAACCCTCCCTCCCTCCTTCCCTCATCTCCATCCCACTCCCTCATCTCCCTTCTCAGCTCACGCACGCGCCCTGCACAAAGCAAAATCAGTGAAGTCAACACACACACGCCCAGGCAAAAACAGGGAAGTCAACACACACACGCCCTGCACAAGGAAGCAAAACACACCTTGCACAAAAATCAGTGCATGTTCCTACACTGTGTACAAGAAAGCAAAAATAGGATACCGCAACACACGTGCTCTCTCATGCACTCTCTCACGCGCACTCTCACGCGCTCTCTCACGCGCTCTCTCACGCGCTCTATCAAGGCGCACTCTTAGGGGCACTCTCAGGCGCTCTCTCTCGCGCTCTTTTTCCCGCACACTCATGCGCATTCTCTCTCTTACGTCCTTTCTCTCGCGCACTCTCACGCACATTCTCTCTCTCAAACGCCCTCTCACGCGCACCCTCACACGCTCCCTCACACGCTCTCTCACGCGCTCTTACACGCGCTCTCTCACGCGCTCTCACACACGTTCTCTCACCCGCTCTCTCATGCGCACTCTCACGCGCTCTCTCACGCTCCCTCACGCGCTCCCTCGCACACTCTCAGGCACACTCTCACGCACTCCCTCTCGCGCTCTCTCTCGCGCACTCTCACCACATTCTCTCTCTCGCGCACTCTCACCACATTCTCTCTCTCGCGGACTATCACACGCATTCTCTCTCTCGCGCTCTCACGCGCACTCACACGCGCTCCCTCACGCGCTCTCTCATGCTCACTCTCACGCGCACTTTCACGCACTCTCTCCTGTGCTCTCTCACGCGCTCTCTCACGCGCTCTCATGCGCCCTCTCGCGCTCTCTCACGCACTCTCTCACGCGCTCTCTCAAGGCACACTCTCAGGCACACTCTCACGCACTCTCTCTCGCGCTCTCTCTCGCGCATTCTCACCACGTTCTCTCTCTCACACGCACTCTCACGCGCTCTCTCACACGCTCTCTCACGCGCTCTATCAAGGCGTACTCTTAGGGGCACTCTCAGGCGCTCTCTTTTGCGCTCTTTTTCCCCCACGCTCACGCGCATTCTCTCTCTTACGTCCTTCTCTCGCGCACTCTCACGCACATTCTCTCTCTCAAACGCTCTCTCACGCGCATTCTCTCTCTTACGTCCTTTCTCTCGCGCACTCTCACGCACATTCTCTCTCTCAAACGCTCTCTCACGCGCACCCTCACACGCTCCCTCACACGCTCTCTCACGCGCTCTCACACGCGCTCTCTCACGCGCTCTCACACGCGTTCTCTCACCTGCTCTCTCATGCGCACTCTCACGCGCTCTCTCACGCTCCCTCACGCGCTCCCTCGCGCACTCTCAGGCACACTCTCACGCACTCCCTCTCGCGCTCTCTCACGCGCACTCTCACCACATTCTCTCTCTCGCGGACTATCACACGCATTCTCTCTCTCGCGCTCTCACGCGCACTCACACACGCTCCCTCACGCGCTCTCTCATGCTCACTCTCACGCGCACTTTCACGCACTCTCTCATGTGCTCTCTCACGCGCTCTCACGCACGTGCTCTCTTGCGCTCTCACGCGCTCTCTTGCGCTCTCTCACGCGCTCTCTCACGCGCTCTCTCACGCACTCTCTCATGCGCTCTCTCACGCGCTCTCTCACGCGCTCTATCAAGGCGCACTCTTAGGGGCACTCTCAGGCGCTCTCTTTCGCGCTCTTTTTCCCGCACGCTCACGCGCATTCTCTCTCTTACGTCCTTTCTCTCGCGCACTCTCACGCACATTCTCTCTCTCAAACGCTCTCTCACGCGCATTCTCTCTCTTACGTCCTTTCTCTCGCGCACTCTCACGCACATTCTCTCTCTCAAACGCTCTCTCACGCGCACCCTCACACGCTCCCTCACACGCTCTCTCACGTGCTCTCACACGTGCTCTCTCACCCGCTCTCTCATGCGCACTCACGCGCTCTCTCACGCTCCCTCACGCGCTCCCTCGCGCACTCTCAGGCACACTCTCACGCACTCCCTCTCGCGCTCTCTCGCGCACTCTCACCACATTTTCTCTCTCGCGGACTATCACACGCATTCTCTCTCTCGCGCTCTCACGCGCACTCATACGCGCTCCCTCACGCGCTCTCTCATGCTCACTCTCACGCGCACTTTCACGCACTCTCTCATGTGCTCTCTCACGCGCTCTCACGCACGTGCTCTCTTGCGCTCTCACGCGCTCTCTTGCGCTCTCTCACGCGCTCTCTCACGCGCTCTCTCACGCTCCCTCACGCGCTCCCTCGCGCACTCTCAGGCACACTCTCATGCACTCCCTCTCGCGCTCTCTCACGCGCACTCTCACCACATTCTCTCTCTCGCGGACTATCACACGCATTCTCTCTCTCGCGCTCTCACGCGCACTCACACACGCTCCCTCACGCGCTCTCTCATGCTCACTCTCACGCGCACTTTCACGCACTCTCTCATGTGCTCTCTCACGCGCTCTCACGCACGTGCTCTCTTGCGCTCTCACGCGCTCTCTTGCGCTCTCTCACGCGCTCTCTCACGCGCTCTCTCACGCACTCTCTCATGCGCTCTCTCACGCGCTCTCTCACGCGCTCTATCAAGGCGCACTCTTAGGGGCACTCTCAGGCGCTCTCTTTCGCGCTCTTTTTCCCGCACGCTCACGCGCATTCTCTCTCTTACGTCCTTTCTCTCGCGCACTCTCACGCACATTCTCTCTCTCAAACGCTCTCTCACGCGCATTCTCTCTCTTACGTCCTTTCTCTCGCGCACTCTCACGCACATTCTCTCTCTCAAACGCTCTCTCACGCGCACCCTCACACGCTCCCTCACACGCTCTCTCACGCGCTCTCACACGTGCTCTCTCACCCGCTCTCTCATGCGCACTCACGCGCTCTCTCACGCTCCCTCACGCGCTCCCTCGCGCACTCTCAGGCACACTCTCACGCACTCCCTCTCGCGCTCTCTCTCGCGCACTCTCACCACATTTTCTCTCTCGCGGACTATCACACGCATTCTCTCTCTCGCGCTCTCACGCGCACTCATACGCGCTCCCTCACGCGCTCTCTCATGCTCACTCTCACGCGCACTTTCACGCACTCTCTCATGTGCTCTCTCACGCGCTCTCACGCACGTGCTCTCTTGCGCTCTCACGCGCTCTCTTGCGCTCTCTCACGCGCTCTCTCACGCGCTCTCTCACGCGCTCTCTCACGCGCTCTCTCACACGCACCCTCACGCGCTCTCTCATGCGCTCCCTCACGCGCTCTCTCACGCGCTCTCTCACGCGCTCTTTCATGCGCTCTCTCACGCGCTCTCTCACGCGCTCTATCAAGGCGCACTCTTAGGGGCACTCTCAGGCGCTCTCTTTCGCGCTCTTTTTCCCGCACGCACACGCGAATTCTCTCTCTTACGTCCTTTCTCTCGCGCACTCTCACACACATTCTCTCTCTCAAACGCTCTCTCACGTGCATTCTCTCTCTTACGTCCTTTCTCTCACGCACTCTCATGCACATTCTCTCTCTCAAACGCTCTCTCACACGCACCCTCACACGCTCCCTCACACGCTCTCTCACGCGCTCTCACACGCGCTCTCTCACGCGCTCTCACACACGTTCTCTCACCCGCTCTCTCATGCGCACTCTCACGCGCTCTCTCACGCTCCCTCACGCGCTCCCTCGCGCACTCTCAGGCACACTCTCATGCACTCCCTCTCGCGCTCTCTCTCGCGCACTCTCACCACATTCTCTCTCTCGCGGACTATCACACGCATTCTCTCTCTCGCGCTCTCACGCGCACTCACATGCGCTCCCTCACGCGCTCTCTCATGCTCACTCTCACGCGCACTTTCACGCACTCTCTCATGTGCTCTCTCACGCGCTCTCTCACGCGCTCTCATGCGCCCTCTCGTGCTCTCTCACGCACTCTCTCACGCGCTCTCTCAAGGCGCACTCTCAGGCACACTCTCATGCACTCTCTCTCTCGCGCTCTCTCTCTCGCATTCTCGCCGCGTTCTCTCTCTCACGCGCTCCCTCACGCGCTCCCTCACGCGCTCTCTCACGCGCTCTCTCACGCGCTCTCTCACGCGCTCTCTCACGCGCTCTCTCACGCGCTCTCTCACGCGCTCTCTCACGCGCTCTCTCACACGCTCTCATATGCGCACACGCTCTCCCTCGCGCTCCATCTCTTTCTTCTTCAAATGAAAGTGCAATGCAAGTGGAGATCAATCGACACATTGGAGAGAAAAAAAAAATCAAAACAAAACAAAACAAAACAAAACAAAACAGGACGGAAATTTCAGAAGGGGGAAGGGAGGACGGAAGGACCAGGAACGCAACTGATAACCACGGTGCCTGAGAAAACAACCCGCGCTCGCGCACCAACCCGCGCTTGCGCTCGTGCACCTGTCGCCGGACGAGACGGCGGAGAGGGAAGGAGAGGCGACGGCGGGGAGTGGGGAGAGGCGACCGCGGGGAGGAGCGAGAGGCGACGGCGGGGAGGAGGGAGAGGCGACCGCGGGGAGGAGGGAAAGGCGACGGCGGGGAGGAGGAGAGGCGACGGCGGGGAAGGAGGAGATGCGACGGCGGGGAGGAGGAGAGGCGACGGCGGGGAGGAGGAGAGGCGACGGTGGGGAGGAGGGAGGCGACGGCGGGGAGGAGGGAGAGGCGACGGCGGGGGGAGGGAGGAGGATAGGCGACGGCGGGGAGGAGGGAGGCGACGGCGAGGAGGAGGGAGGCGACGGCGGGGAGGTAAGGGAGAGGAGATGGCGGGGTGGATGGGACGGAGTGATTGTGAGGTGGGTAAGAGAGGTGTCAGCGGGTAGTGAGGGAGAGGATACGGCTGGATGGAGCGAGACCGACGGCTAGGTGGGAGAAGAACTGGCGAGAAGGGGTGGAGGGGAGGGGAGGAAAAGGAGTAGGAGCAGAGCAGGTTCTTGTCGAGAAGATTCAAGAACAAGAACCAAGAAAAGACAGCGCCGAATTCGAGATGTGAAAGAGACGGATGCCAGCGCAGAACGAGAAAATTTCTGCCAGCAGAGCGAGAAAATTTAGGGCGTGTTACATTTTTCATTTTTTCATCCTAACGGCCAGCCGTCCGGACGATTGTGTGGTTACTGAGCTCGTTAAATCTCGGCATTGAGTTCGTCAGGGTCGAAACGACGTCGCATTCTTCGTATTGCCTCCTTACGACATTAAATTGGTCGCAATGCGACCGTACGACGTCGCAATTTTCGCACGTGTCCGTACAGCTGTCCGGACTTTCAGCGACTTCAAAAAATGTAGCACGCCCTTATGCCAGCACAGGAGGAGGGCATTCAGCGATGCCAAACGCCCAACCCGCTATCATAACCTGAAAGAACAATGGAGTTAAGTTGTTGGTGAAAACAATTCATGTTTATAAAAATCACAAAAAGAGCATACATGTCCACGTTGTTCCACAATTAATCAACAACTTTGAGGGAAGCAACATCTATAGAACATTTCGCTTCACAATAGGGAACTATCGAGCTTGACCTGTTTTGAGTAAAAATGAAGAACTTAATGAATTGCTTCTGTAAGCAAAGTATAATTATAATGTATGTACTCTATCTTAATGTTTCTAACATAATGTTTCTAATTGTAAGGAAAAATCCTTTTCCTTACTTCGCGTCCCCGCTCAGCGCGTACATCACTGTAGCACCACAGTCAGCACCGTTACCACTCGCAACTCTCGCATCGACAATCCTCCCGCCACCTTCGCACGTCGCACCCCGACCTCACGGCTCGGCGGGTAACCCGCGCTCCGGGCTGTCAGAGGTCCACTGGTGATCCCCGATTGATCCTAGGGAAGGGTTACAGGCTCGTTGTCCTGGGGGGTTATGGGCGCACTGACCCGCTACTTAACAAGCCCTTTTATCCCAATGGTCTAGTGGTTGGGATTCTGACATGGTATCAGAGCGAAGGTCTCGGGTTCGAATCCCAGTGTGTGCACTTCGGGCATCCCAGTGCGGGGGGGTGTCAGAGGTCCACTGGTGATCCCCGATTGATCCTAGGGAAGGGTTACAGGCTCGTTGTCCTGGGGGGTTATGGGCGCACTGACCCGCTACTTAACAAGCCCTTTTATCCCAATGGTCTAGTGGTTGGGATTCTGACACGGGCCTCCGCTTCGACACTTTTCCCAACCTCAGTCCCAGGCCCGTCACGCGACAACCACAGTCCATTACCGTTACCACTGTAGTTTCGCTATGTATTCTTCGCTCATGCCTTCGCTCATTTGTACTTTTGCTTCGATAGTGCAATTCTCGCTCGCTCACTTAATTGCACTCGTAACACTTGGTATCCAGAGCCTACGATCTCTTCTCGGACCGCACCCACACCTTCGCTTCCTCACTATCTCAATTTTTTGGGGGGGGGTAGACGTCTCTCAGCGACACAGCACCGCCGCTCGTAGTGCTCTCTCGTAAGCACGCACGACCACGACAGAGGCTCTCGCTGAGCTCGCCCGACACCCCCGCCATGGCCGAATTCACGCTCGCAACATTGACGCAGGAGCAGCTCGACCGTCTGGTGCGCCAACTTGAAGATTCGGCGCTCGAAATTGCGACGCTCACGGCGGAACGTGACTCCGCGCGTCAGCAATCAACGGTGAACACTCCCGCGCCACCACACGCACCAACAAATGCATCTGCACAATCGGACGAACCGATCGTCATTTCGTCCGGCACACCAACACAACACGACAGCATGGGACAGCGCTCAGGCGCAGCCAGTGATGGCGCCGCCCAGCCGATGCCTGGCATGGGAGGGAACAGGGTCGCACCAAGCCCGCGGGAGCCTCGTGAAGCCCGTCGGCACGTGGAGTTTGCGGCGACAAGTGGCGAACAGGCCATCATGGCACCAATGCCACTCAAGCCGCAACGCCCGCCCTGCTTCGACCCAAGCCAACGTGGAGGTCCGACGGTTCAATCGTGGGTCTTCACGATGAACGTCTTCTTCGACGCGAATTACGTCGAGTCGGACGCAGCGAAGATTCGGTATGTCGTTTCGCTGCTGAGGGGCCCCGCCATGGACTGGTGGCGAGTCATCGTGACGTCGCCACGCGCCTACGAGCCACCGTCGTAAGAGGAAGGGCCCACGGGTCCAGCTGTCACCTGGAGTTCGTTCTACGAGACCGCCCAGTACAGCACGTGGGATGCGTGGTGCGCAGGGCTTCGGGCGCGCTTTGAGCCAATCGCGGCTTCTATTTCGGCGCGTCAGAGACTGCGTTCTTGGCGGCAGCTCGGATCGGTTCAAGACTATACGAGTGGTTTTCTCGCATTATGCGAGCAAGTCGGCTACATGCACGAAGCGGAGCGGGTGGACCGTTACGTCGGAGGGCTGAAGCCGGACATCTCGCACGAAATTATGCTACGCGGGCTCTCGAACTTCAACAAGATTCTCGCGCTCGCCGAGAAAATCGACATTTTACGCCGTCCGAGACCGGGGTCCTACTACGGACATCGTCCTCGGGGACCGATCGAGCACGCCACCGTACACGCCGTTGCGACGAATGCAGCTGCCGCACCGTTTAAGGGGTGCTGCTATGCTTGCAAAAGGCCGGGCCATCGCAAGAGCGAATGCCCAGAGGAGCTGAGGCGCCGCGGAGCAGAGCAGGGGAAGGAGTCTCAGAGGCAGGGAAAGGCCAGCAGTTAGCAGGAGTCGGGCCAACTACTGACGAGACTGCCTGCTCGCCCAACCGCACCGACCCTCACCGAGTTACAGTACCGATTCACGCCATCGATCGGGCTCGGATGAATAAGGAGGGTACAGCGACGGATTGCCCAGTACTGATCCACGGGAAAATACAAGGAGCAGCAGTGAAGATTTTTATTGACGGAGGAGCAAGCCATAGTTTAGTTAATACCGCAACCGCACAGAAAGTGCAACTGACACTCAGCCGGTGCTTACCAGAGATCAACGCACGCTTAGTTGACGGCACGCCACTGGCCATACGGGAGAAGGTGGAGAGAGTAAAAGTTCGCTGCGGGGGAAACTTCGGGTTTACACATGAAATGCTCGCGACGACACTGGATGGGCACGAGATTTTACTGGGACGTGATTGGCTGCGACGACACAACCCGAGAATTGACTGGACGACAGGAAGCTGCACTGTGCGAAGTGTCAGAATCCCAACCACTAGACCATTGGGATAAAAGGGCTTGTTTGTGTAGCGGGTGGGTGCGCCCATAACCCCCCAGGCCAACGTGCCTGTAACCCTTCCCTAGGATCAATCGGGGATCACCAGTGGACCTCTGACACCCCCCCGCACTGGGATGCCCGAGGTGCACACACCGGGATTCGAACCCGAGACCTTCGCTCTGATACCATGTCAGAATCCCAACCACTAGACCATTAGGATAAAAGGGCTTGTTTGTGTAGCGGGTGAGTGCGTCCATAACCCCCCAGGCCAATGTGCCTGTAACCCTTCCCTAGGATCAATCGGGGATCACCAGTGGACCTCTGACACGAAGTAGTGGTAACTGGATCGCACTACCCCGCTGGCAGTCGCCTGAGTCTTCAACGGTCCACGTCAACGCCATCACGATGAAACGGGCAGTCGCCGCTGGAGCTGACGTGTACACAGTGGACATTGCCGTAGTAGAAGAAGCAGAGCAGCCGAGCGATTTTCAGAAACTGTTAGCAGTAGTACCGCCCGAATTACAGGAACTGTTGAAACGATACCCCGGGATCTTTCCCGACGACTTACCGGAAGGACTGCCACCTCAGCGAGTACATGACCACCGAATAGAATTAGAACCGGGGGCACAGCCAACTGTACAGCGCCAGTTCAGACTGACACAACCCGAGCTCGACGAACTGAGGAAGCTGTTAGATTACCTGTTAGAGAAAAGATTCATCCGACCAAGCTCGTCACCGTTCGCCGCACCGATACTATTCACACCGAAAAAAGACGGGGGTTTTCGCATGTGTATCGACTACAGAGCACTGAACAGGGTAACAGTCAAGTCGCGGTACCCCATTCCCCGCGCCGACGAACTGATCGACCAACTACGAACAGCACGGGTTTTTTCGAAAATAGATTTACGGGGAGGTTACCATCAGATTAGGGTCGAACCATCGGACTGCGCCAAAACAGCTTTCAGGACTAGGTACGGGTCGTTTGAGTACACTGTGATGCCATTCGGGCTGACCAACGCACCGGCGACTTTTCAGATGACCATGAACGAGGCGTTTAGGCCGCTCTTAGATAAATGTGTGATAGTTTACCTCGACGACATCCTCGTTTACACTCGGGATAAGCAGCAGCACTTAGCAGATCTGGAAGCAGTATTTAAGGTTTTAAACGAGATTAGATTACTGACCAAGGGTTCCAAGTGCGAGTTCTTCCAGGATAGGTTAGAATTTTTAGGGCACGTCATTTCGGAGGCTGGAGTTGAAATCGACCCAAAGAAGTTGGATACAGTAAAAGCGTGGCATCCCCCGACGAACATCACGGAGCTGCAGAGCTTTTTAGGGTTCGTTAATTATGTGCGTCGGTTCGTCCCCGATATGGCACGATTAACTGCCCCACTGACGGATTTACTGAGGAAGGGGGTCGTTTTTACGTGGGGGGAGAAAGAGCATGCTGCCTTCTCTGCCTTGAAAAATGTTCTCTCTTCACCGCCCGTCCTGCGCATCGCCGACCCACACCGCCCATTCGAAGTAGTTACCGACGCAAGCGACATCGCCATCGGAGCCGTACTGCTACAGGACTTCGGCAACGGCCTACAGCCCATCGCATACGAGTCACAAAAACTGCATCCGCCCGAGAAAAATTACCCGATACACGACCGCGAAATGCTTGCGATCGTGCATGCGTTCAAAGTATGGCGCTGTTACTTGACCGG